TCCTCGCTCCCAACTCACAGTCTGACGTATAATCCAGTCCACCACAATTAAGAATATCATCAATGATAATAGACAGTCAGCCCTGTCTTACTCCTATATGCACTTCGAACGCCTCGCTGATTTTTCATGGTGGATAACCTGACATGTGCCATTGTCATATATCTGCTGAATGAGGTTGATAAATAATTGAGGTACACCGCTGTGTTGAAGTAGTTTCCAAATTACGTCTTGGTCAACGCTGTACTATCGAAAGCCTTTTCGAAGTCGATGAAGTTGAGGTAGAGAGGTTTGACTGCCATTCTATGCTCTGTTCTGTTATGATGATGATGATGATGCGTAGAGTTGTAATTTGATCAGAGCATGACTTGCCTTTCCTGAATCCAGCTTGTTCCGTGCTGGCGGCGTTCTGTATCTAATGCATCTTTTATTCTCTCCAGGATGATGCGATTAAGTATTTTACTTGACGTTGACAAGAGCATTATTCCATGCCAGTTCTTGCACAGGCCAAAGTCGCCCTTCTTCTCAGCTTGACAAGGTAACCAGCCTTTCTTCCAATTGGTAAGTACTTTTCCCTCCTTCCAAACCTTTTGCAATAATGGTCTGAGCACATCTATTGCATTCTGCGTCCGTTTTCAGTGCCTCGAGGGAATTCCGTCTAGTCCTGCTTCCTTCCTGGTCGGTGCTCAGTAAGTAACTTGATAGCATTTAGGATTTCTGCTTTCGTTTGAGGATTGGTGTCCACTGGCAGGTAGTTCTGTGCGTGCTGTTGATGGCGGTGTATTTCTGGGTGCGTCGCAGGCGGTGGTCGACTCAAGAGTCCTTTAAAGTGATCAGCCCACTCATTGTTTTATTTGTTTCTCCTCCTTCTTAATCACGTTCCCTTGAACATCTTTTATTGGTTTCATCATATGGATTGATCTCTTCCCAGATAGAGATAGAGACCTGGTTATCTGATACAATGTCCTGAGATCTCGCTTACCTGCACCCTGCCTGTTCTGCTTCATTTGCCGGTTAGTGTGTCGTAGAATTGTTGTTTGTCTTTCCTATCACTCTTCTTCACTTCTTCTTCTTCTTCTTTATTCAGTGCAGTGTACACTGAACTCAGCTTCTCCTTCTCTTCTATTGTCTATCTGTGCACTGAGTCATCTTCTCTTTCACCATCCTCCTCTCCTCTACTCGATTAGCTTCCAGGTAGGTGTCCATTGAGAGCCAGCCATACCTTGTCTTCTCTCTTCTTTCTTCCCAGAACACTTGTACACGTTTCCTCGAATATCAGCTGCCATCAGAGAGTTCCAATGTTCCTCCACGCAGGTTTCCTCGGTGACAACACACAGTGTCTCCGATTTTGCTCTGATCTGATCTGTAGTTTTGTCCTTCAGTTTCTGAGTGCCGAGCTTGAATTGTGGCCTGTCTCCAGTTGTTTCGACGGATTTCAACTTCATCTTGATGGTTCCTTGAACTAGCTAGATGATGGTCTGAGCTCACATCTGCTCCCATTCTCAACTTTGTGTCCATCAGGCTGTCTGCGTCTCCACTTCCTATAGCAGCGTTGAAATGAAATCTATCTTGTTTGTAGTGTTTCTATCAGGAGAATTCCATGTTGCTTTGTGTATATCCTTGTGTTTGTACACGCTCCCTCCAATCACCAAATCATTGGAAGCGCGGAATTCTGCGAATAATTCTCCGTTCTCATTCATTTCTCTGAGCAAAAGCCTCTCGACCTATGATGCGTTCTCTTCCTGTATTATCTCCCCCCAGTTTGGCCTCCATTCATATCGCCCATGAGGAAGTTTTTGTCACCGATAGGAATGTTGTCGATTGACGTTTGTAGTTGTCTGCAAAAATCTTCCTTCTTCTCTTGTTCCGAGTTGTTTGTAGCACTGTGTGTAGCATTGCATGATAATTGTAACATTCCTTCCTTTCTTCCTTTTGAGTTGAATCTTGCTGTCATGATCCTAGATGAGGGGATTGGTTCCCACTGTATTAGGGCTCTGGCTGCCACTGGTCACATCATTATAGTCACACCGTCCCTCAATGTGCTCGTAATTGTCGTCTGAGTGACCAGACCGGAGTAGATTACTGACTCTCCAGTTGACAAATCTGATAGTCCACATCCATTCCATCTGCCCTCGTAGATACCCAGCACTTCTAGGCCATATCTGCTGATTTCTTTGACTACCTGGCCAGCCTTCCCCGCCTAACGTCGTACACTGTACGGACATTCCACGTCCCCATTCTTATTCTTGCTTTCATCGAGAGAAGACACATCGGCTGACCGGCTTCCCGGAGGCTTTCACCAAACCACATCAATTCGTCCCTTGGGTTTGAGAGGAAAAAAAATTGTTGTTATTTGAAGTTTTTGTATTTTTAATATATTTTCTGTGCTTTGAGGTTTCTGAAGCGGCTTGACAGGTTTAGTGGTGTGTATTTGCTAGTCCCAGGCCCATCCCTTTCTATTTACCCGGGCTTAGAACCAGATAGTTAACTAGGTTAGGTTAGTAGCCTATTTAAATAGGCTCCCCATATTCCTAAGAGAATCTCTGAAAATGTATTTCAGAGGACAGTAAACTCAATCTGACTATACTTCTTTGAGTTACACTTAATGAAGTTAGATATGATCCAAAATAGTTGAGGGCGGCGTAGTTTCATCACTTACACTTACATGAGTTCATTAGTTTAAACTTTATTCAAGTCTTATAAGCTAGTTGATAATGGACCTACAAACCTCACTTGCCTGATGGGTAGGTGAATGAAGCATTTATTATGCAGGTTTATCCACCCCCTCACACACACACACACACACAAAATGGAAATGAAGATTTCTTTCTTCATTCAGCTCACGTTTACTTCTCATTAATTATTTTATACAATAATTGCCTTTTATAAATTTGAGCAGAAAAAGAACAAACATTGGGGTAAAATCTTATTTGGTTGCCTCTCATCAGCTGCCTATAAGCTATAATATTTAACAAATAAAAGTCAGCGTAAAATGTAACATACTTTTGTCTGTCGACAAGCATATTATAATGATGTCATGTTGAGATAAAACATCATTAAATAACTAAACAATTGACAATAAAAATTTCTTAACAGAAGTATATTTGTCATTTCATGCCTTCAGAAAAATAGCCTACTTTCGTTCTTATTTACCACTCCGCGTATTGCTTTATCTTGCGTCGTTTTATTCTCCAATTCGGAGCACCTTTTTTAAAAAATGTTCTCAATCTATCACCAATGCATTTAATAAAAATATTGAAATATAATAGATAATCACCATGATGGATGACAGTACACCGACTTTAAAAAGCTAACAAAATAAAATCTTATGACTCCAGTTAAAATATCTAGAAAAAAATATAAAAAGTCAATCATACTTTCATACTGATCAGTCAATGTAAAGGGAAATATGTTTCAAAAAAGATTTAATCATTATCATCGGACCTGACCTTAGTATCATTCGTGTGTTAATGAATTCATTATTATTATTCTTGTCATTACTATTTTTTACTTCAATATCAATATAAGTAAATAATCGGTGAATTTGAAACCTTAGAGTATGGCTATGTATTACTTGGAGTCACTAACTGCTGCGGCATCATATCATTCATTTGCGTTCCCAGTGGAAAAAAAGGGCTTCAGACTTTAAGCTCTGAAGTTGGGTGGATGCCTAAAAAGGTTTATGAAGAAGAAAGATAGAGAAAGAGGGGAAATACTATACTACAATGTAATAGAATTTTACAGGAGACTTAGCGATAGATACCTCAAAGATAGGAATCATCAGTTTCCTAAAGAAAACTTTCTCTGCATCAACCCTATGAGTGATATTTTCAATCGTTTCAGTGCTTCTAAGCAATTTGAAAGACGAACTCCCACATACGACCACTCCAGTTTGCACATATCAGTTCATCTGCTCATGTGGAGGTAGGAGTATACTTCATTCTAAGCGCGTTGTGTCAGAATGAGCTAGAGAACACTAACCAACGTGGCTGGGGAGAAGAGCTGTGATTACTGTCAGTGCTTATCAAATCTCAACTAACTTATCAGTCATAGTCACTAACAAAGTAAAAACAAATCTACTAAAGACAATGTGCTCCCGACTTATTCGCTATGCAAAAGCTGAAGCTTTGTGTTAAAAAAACTTCACTCAACCTACGCATCTGCCATAGGTCTATTTTTGTTTGGTTTCCCTTGTTTTGAATTGTTTATTTATTCGTCCCCCTCATTTGTTTCGTCTTCAGTCACAGAATGAATACTTTCTTTCAATCTGTTTCTATGCCCATCTTGATCATACCATTTTTCGGTGAATACTATTCTGCATATTATTCATCTATATTTGTCACCCTGTAGTTTAGTTTCTATGCCCTATGTGATTAGTATTCATCTCTCTCATCACACTTGCGAATTTTCAAATCAAGTTGAAAACTAAAATTATTCTCAGGTTTGAATGTCACTATGTCGAACTAAATAATAACTGTAACTAGGCTAAATTATAAAAGGTCAGAAAAACATGTTTACAGATCGCTTTTTTATGCAGCTATCGAGAATGAAATCATAAAAGAAGTTGTATCTACTTTCAAAATTGGTGTTTTCATCGAGGAAAAAAAAGTTTAGTTAGTGGCAGGAGTCGAACCAGTAACGCCATTTCTTCTCGCTGCAAACTATGAACAAGCTTGTCAAATGCAAGACTCTTTCAGGTAGTCTAGTCATAATTATTATTTTCAGGCGTTGATTTGCAGGGAGTTAACTAATTTCAAGTTTGATCATGAACTGACTTCAGTTAAGGAACTATTGAAAACCAGGGAACGCAGATCATCTGTTTTAGTCTGAACAAGGGCGAAATAGCTATCCATATCTCTCTATTTTTCAATGGTTCTATAACTGAAGTCCAGTTCATAATGAAAACTTGAAATTGTATTTTTATTCATACATAATTTTCCACTGAGCAGTGATTATTTCTAATCGATATGTTCCCTTTTTGTTCCCTTCTGCTTTTTCTTCAGGTATGAAACTCTCACTTGAACCGTAAACTTGTTGGATAGGTGAAAATTTGCATTGGGTGCTCACTTATCATCTGATGTGTATAGATTCGTTTTGTTAAGTATTTGCATTAATCTGTGGTATCATATGATGTGGATATTACAGTTATTTTACTGTACATCCTCTCATATATCGTGATTATTGTCTCCACTTTCAGCAATAAATTTAACCACCTATTTGACACCTGTATTTATTTATCTATGCATATGGTTGATTTTGTACTATCCAATCAATTATTGCTCTGTTTCTTGTAGATTTCCCTTCTTTACAGTAATTTAACTACTAGTGATTTCCTATAACTTTGAACTAATTTATATTTGATTTTTTTGACATTGTCTTTCATACAAACTGACAGTAGCTTCGTACTTTTTGCGTTAAACTAAACATACTACTTGTTATTTATAAGTAGTATGGTTGTCTTTTTGCATTGACAATATTATTGTATTTGTTCAGATTTATATTGCTTTCGTATCCATCAACTTTAGTGTTTTTTCTATATACACATATTTATTTATGAAGTTTTTATTCATACTGAATTATATTCTACTTATATCACACAAGAATGCGTGTTTTTATCTATTCATAAAGGAGAGTAGTAGTCTGTTGTATGATGTATACTACTGGCTGATAGATATGAATAGTTGCATGCCACTTATACTGTGTGTAAACATTGTTTAAAAGAGTTCAATCACACTGTAGCACTATTCCAGTGTTGAAGAGAATGTAGGAAAATTACCTACTAACCGTCTTCAAAATGTGTTTAAACTCTAGCCACAACACCAACAAGAAGACATCACCAAAGACCATAAGAAAATTCATCCTATCATTTATAAAAAGTATCTCTGAAATGACAGTGTTGGTGGATTTCGGTGTTTCTGAAACTACAGAATAGAACTGCTCTTTGAAGACTTAGTTCGCAGTAGATAACAAATCTTCTTAGACTTTATTTGATTTAACTCTATATCCGTCGTTGACTGATTATATCGAACCGAAGCGTTAGATCTCTGTTGATATTGTAGGTCCAATATAATCAAAGGGAAATACACGATTATCTTCAGCGTACAATAACTGATACCCGTTGCACAAAATGTTGTGCAGGTGGCATAGTGGACAACACTGTGGCGTTTGGGGTGATGGGTGTTGGGTTATTGTCTCACTGTGACAAAATGCGCACTCTGGATTCCACTGCTAGTTACCACCCAACAAATAACTCGTAGAACTTTATCTGCTTCCGCGGAGAAGAATATGCTACAGGGTTGTGACGTCGACCTTTGAAAATATTCCCCTATAAACAGCCTACATACGTATTTTGTCCAGTTTTTTAACATACCTTTGGTCAGTGAGGTAAAATTTGACTAAACGGGAATACCCACTTCGGCTTGTTATTAAAAGATACCAAGCAGAAAGTAATAACAGTCAGACTTTAGAGGTTTCAGGGTGAATAATTATTTTGTGACTGCGTACCTTTGCGATCTATCGTGACTGATTTCCTTTAGTCAGGAATCATTTGTTTCGACAGGAATGTGGAGCTGATAACCTACACTTTTATACATGATTAACATCAAAAGCTGAAGACTACACCGTGTGGTGATATTGTGGTGGTGTGACACAGACAATGTCTGCCAACGGAATATTATTCTCTCTCACACATCCCCACAGTTCAATTTGGTATTAGCGGTTTAATTAATGAAATATACCTTGGCTCCCGTGTCTGACCTTCTGTTGTTACAATATCATTTCGAAACAATTTTAACTGTTTTCCATATATATATATATATATATATATATGATTGTATTATTGATTAATCAATAACTTAGACTTACGGTACTTCCCTGTCTTGTAACCTTCCTGCACAAAATTCAGTGTACTGTAACTAAATCTTATTACATTAGTGATTACACTTTTACTTATTAACCACAAGAGAATAAATAAACACTTTAAATCAACAGTTGTTTTATAGATTCTTGTGTTAATTCAAAGCTTACCCCATAAGTGTAAAATAAGAAGTCAAACAATAAGAAATTAAAACTCATTTACACCTTTTTACATATATTTTATTCTTCAAACAGCAAATTACCATCATCAGCTTACGTATTGCACATTGAAATTTACTGTTCCATTGGAACTTCCATTGATGTTGATCCTCCCATGGAGGTGTTTGGCGTTTAGTCTGTGAGACTTACTTCTTATTGATCTGCATCAACATGTCTGTTGATTACAAACTGATTTGGGTATCAGGTATCTGAAGTTTTGTGTTTTAAAATTAACTCAAATGAACTGTCGGTTGTTGTCCACGTTTATCTTTTAACGTTTTAGAACTATGCTGCTTATTATTTAAGTAGTTTGATATGTTCCAGTCAAGTTTTTGCTGCATTTACGTCAGTTAAGATAGTATTTTCGTCGATAGCTTACATCAGCCAAAGCGACTTGGATAGTCATCTCTTCCTAGTCTTGTCCTCTTCAAGACTGTGCACCTAAAAATTCTCAGTCAGTAGAAGCCAAGATGGTTACTGTACGTGTAAAAACCTCACTTGATCGGAGATAAATCCCAACAAGTTTAAAATAACAACTGCACTAGGTAGGACTCACTATATTCTTATTTCAGTATCGCAGTACTTTCCTTCATTTTTCGGCTATATTTTTGCCACTTTATTTGTTTTACTGACGATATATTTTTACTGGAATTCATGTTTATCTCATGCTGGTTGTCTTAAACCCATGTATCCATTTACGTGTCCTTGGTGGAGTTTGACATGTCCTGGCACAGTTTACTTGTTGACTCCCATCCTGCGAATTGTCTTTAACGGTAAAGTAAACAGTGGAGAAAACAACGCCATTCAAGGTTCGTGACTTCATTAATTACTATTGTTGTTTACTAATATCCAACCAACAACAAGAAGCATTAATCACTATCAACAGGGAGAAATCTGAAGGAAGACATCTCTTTCCTTTACTTGGAGAGCACCGTTTCAGCTGCAGGCAACACTGATGAAGACGTTAAGGCCAGCTGGGATAACATTGGGAAAACAAAAGCGAACTGAAACAGCTGTGAAGATCTACAGTACTCAGCACAAGAAAATGTTAACTCAGGCAGTGTTTCTATATGGCGTCCACCACCACCAAAAGTATATCCTACAGGCTACCTCAGAGTTCCATTTATAACTGTATTCTCTCATTACCGAAGATCAGGTAGCCAGAAAGGATAAGCAATAAGAGAATCTGACAGGCAGGATACCAGCCAAGAGCCTACCAGCTAAAAAATATGCAGTAGGAAGGAAATGGAGGTGGATTGGGCATAAGCTGAGGAGACATTTAATGCTTGGTTGGTCTTCGAGTGGAACCCCAATAGGGAGCGATGAGTTGGGCACCCGATAGTGACGTGGGGGAGATTACGTGGAGAAGAAACGAAATTCTGGAGGCAGTCACGGAGCCAACGGAAAATGATATCAGAGAACCGAGTGTACCATATTATAATGCAAGGAGTGAATAATGATAATAACTGCTTGAGAATGAAGCCATGAGTTCTGGATGGATTTTTCGCCCTATGCTCTAAGATTTTACACTTAACTCCAGAGAGTGATTTAGCATATTAAATGGTGAATTACTCGTTGAGATTTTAAAGTCAACATTCACCTAGCTTATGCAGAGTACAATAAATGAGTGAATAACCATTATACAACAATTGAGTGCATTAAAAGAATATTATTTTTACAACACTGTACAGATTAGGAATAAGTACTCATTTGTCGATGTTAGGTCAGTTTTCTATCTATTCACCAGAACAAGTACTTATACCACCCCTGATTAGCAAACAAGATTTTCTTCAAGTTTTAGCAACTATCTAGGCAAGACTGGATGAATAAAGCAAACTTACTCTGGTCGTTAACCAAAGTCCTCTACTCATGAGTATTTTTCCAATAGGATTTCACAACTAGAACTACTAGTTATCTGGCATAAGACGGATAAATATAAGAGTCCTCGTGTTTCTTCCTCCTCCTCACCTCCTACTACTGCTTTTTCTTATTATGATTTAACAGCTTGAAGTAAAGAACCTCCTGTATTAAGTATCGCCTCCATTATTGTGCAGAATACAGCTCAGATTATTGTTCTATTAAGGTGTATTTCATTGTGAATGGAAATAGAGTTATGTATCATTATTATTATTCCCTTGGGTTCCGAGAGGAACATAAGGCTTCAGCAAATCTCCATTTCAGCCTGTTCTTCTTAGTCCTCTTTAGCTGGTTCCACAATGGCCCATAAGCTTCCCTTTCTTTCTGACAGGATCTCCTCAATGATATCCTTGAACCCACAGTCAACTAGTCGTTTCTCATTCAAGTTCAACTTTGGGAGCTGACGCGTGATATCACTCAGTGGCTTTTCCAGTGTATGTCCAACTTATCCCATTTCCTTCGGTAGATTTGTTGGGCATTAGGTTGTTGGTTGATTTGTAGCCACAGTTCCTTGTTGCTTGTCCTTTCTGGTTGGCTATCTAACTTTCATCACAGAACGAAATCAGGTGTTCATAAAAGTCCACAATAGGCTGTAGGAAATGCTTCTGGTGATGCACGCGCCAAGTTTTGGAACGATATGGAAGAAATGACTTGCCATTAGTGTTGGAAATCCGAATCTTCTTCTTTATGCTGATTGCAGTAAACTTTCACGGGGATTTCAGATTAATGAATAGTCTGTCTTGCTTTTCCGATCGTAGATTTAACATCCTTATCCGTGCTGATGCTGCCTAGACATATTGCTTAGTCGACGGTTTGATGGGTCAATAAAAAGATCTATTTACAGAAAACCTACCTGGACAGGACAGTATCTTAATTACCACAGTTTCTGCCCTGTTCGGTACAAAAGATGCTTAGTAAGGTGCCTCTTCAGTAGAATCCGACGAATATGCACTGAAGACACGCTTGATGAAGAAGAAAGAAAGTTGACACAAACTCTGGTTGATAAAAGTTATCCAGACAAGTTTATCAGGAGATACA